CAAACAGAGTCCATAAATTTCTCAAAGATTGGATCGATTACATCTCAAACGATTTTCCATGCGGGTAACTATTAAAATATCAACACAGGCTTTCCCATCTCTCTTTAACCCTTGAACATTAGGATGTTTTTTGTTAAAGGTGAATTCTCAGCTATAATTTACTTTATTACTTTTCTTGAGTGTACATGAACTATAAATGTTTATGAACATTATAAATCCTAACAGGACCCTGCTGTGCAATATGCTGCTATCTAGTGGCAACGGTTAAAAAATATTATCGGGTGAATTTTTATCCATCCAAGTGTTTAAGGGCTAAAGAAAAAGAAGTCAGTGGACATGTATTCGAAGCTGTTCACCGCGACACGAATTGCACATGGCGCTCTTTCAATGCCCTCCTCCGAAGAAGGACACCTGTGCGTCCCGAGTGGAGTTTTCTTCAGCCTCAGTTCACATGGCGAAATTGGCGGATTAATTATCGTCGGCATCTCGCGAAACTTCGACCTTCTCTTAACTGTGTATGGAATATCCGGCCGACGACGGTTCAAAGACGCAGGATCGCTCGATGCTTGGGACATCACCGTCGTTCGGAACTCGCGGCGATCTAATTTGATAGCAAGTACTGCGCAGTGGGGCTGTTATATTTAATTAGGCACTAAAGAGAGTCGGCGTGTCGTAACAGGAGCGGATATACGAACGTGAGCTCTCGCTCGCTCGCTCGCTCGCTTGCATGTCGCTGAACAGAATGTCCTTAGGATTTTACGCGACATCGACTGGCTCTCTCGGCATAAGCGCGGTCGTGGCGGACGAGATTGCGGCGACTCTCGTCCGCGCTGTAAACTTCGGTTAATTAAGCGGCGGATTTAATTCGGGACAAGGGATGTGCGCGCGCGGCCGGGGGCCAATTTTCCGCGAATCGTCATTTATCGGGCCGGCCTGCAAGGGTTATGCAAATTACGCCGCTGGCATAATTCAGCACCGCCGGCAGCTCGCCACCGCGTGGATTAAAGCCGGGCGTTCCCATGCAAATGCCATCGTCGAATGGCTGCGCGCCCCGCGCGACGCGCCGCGGCACCGTTCCGCTCCGGGTAGGAAGACGCGCGCGGGAGCGACACGAGCAAATCGAGACATTCATATGTCGCCTTCTTCGCCGCGTTCGACAGGACGGAGTCACGCGGCGAAGAAATTCGTGAGCACACCGAGACACTTCGCCGTCGCACAATGAAGGATTCGAAGGCAATAAAGCATTCGAGGAAACAACTCTTACGGAATACAACAAAGAATCAATATGTACACCGTCTATAAGATGAATGTGCCAACTTGTGTCTATTTTCCTTAATAAATCACCTGATACCTGGTTTTTCGTCTAAATGTGCAGAATGTTGGCAATAGGCCCAAAATTAGACGATGTGTTAATAAAGTCAAGTAGACGAGAAAAGTTTACACAGGGTGAGGAACCTAAAACAGACCAATTGAATAATTTTGAAAATATGCAAGATAGGAAAAAAATGTTAAATATAGAAATTGTAAGGTTTTAAGTGACGCGTCACATGATAATAATGGTATGACCTTGAAAAGCATCATTAAGGTCACTGAAGATTACCGGGAACTTTTTAAATAGAAACCGCTATTTTTTATTATATAATATTTTTCTACCAATTAATTTAAACAACTTTTGTCTGAAGCATTTTTTATTTGCTTAACATTTTTTGAAATATTTAAGGAAAGTTAACTTTTGCAATATTTGCCTTATTTGACGATATCTCGGTAATTATTCGTCGGAAGAAAAAGTCATACTCAATTTTTTTGCTTTCTTTGGTCTCAAGAACATGCTGTTATAATAGTGCCCCAATTCTTGTTAATTTGATAACCTTTGGAAATTTCAAAGTCATCATATTAACGAAAATTAGGGCATTATTGTAATAGTATATTCTTGAGACGAAAAAAAAATAGAGCAGAAAGGTCTGATACCACCTTATCTCCCGACAAATAATTACTGAGACATCGTAGGCGAAATATATTAAATATATTAAAAATATATTAATATATAAAAATAAATTTAAAAAATTACCAACTTTTTTTAACTAACTCAAAAAATATATTAGATAAATAGGTAAATGTTTCAGACAAAAAGTGTCCAAATTAATTAGCAAAAAAAATTATATAATAAAAAATGGAGGTTTCCATTTAAAACATTCAAAGTGACCTTCCTGTAACCTTGACACTATTCAAGATCATATTAATATAGCTATGTGTCGCTTAAAACCGACTTCTGTATTTAACATTTGTTTCTATCTTGCATAATTTTAAAATTATTCAGGTGGCTTGTTTTAGGTACCTCACTCTATATAAACTTTCGTCCGGAAATATTTTGTTAAAAAATTATGAACGTTCAAGATTTGCGAGCGGTATGGTTTTCTATCAGATTTAACGTCTCTTGGCTTCTATAGGGATCATGTAAAGCAATTGACTCATGAGAATCTGATAGGAACAAAAGATTAGCTTTAGAAGCGTGTTCGAAACATGTTAATGAGGTCGAGTAGCTGAGTTTGTATAAAATTATGTCCGAAAATGCTTTGTTAAAAAGTTACGAACGTTGAAAGATTTATAAACAGAATTGCCTCGTCTATCAGATTTAACATTTTTTCGGCTTCTTTTTTTGGGACCGCGTAGAACAGTTGGTTTTGCTTGAAACCACTTACGGAATCAGAGTGTCCCGTATAGCGGAGTTATAGAAAACAATTCGTAAACGTCTGTGATGTTCCAAAGCATTTTCGGACTGAAGTTTGTACCATCTGCCTTCGCTTACTCGATCTCATTAACATGTAAGTTTGCCTGCGACAAGCGAACTGCTGATGGCAACAAGTCGAACAATTATTCAGCAACGAACTCAATTAATTACACTCGATTAATAATTTGCTCAATTGTTCCGCCTGTATCGCGAATAAGACGACACGATTCGTCGCGTTAATTGCAGGTCGGCGGGAGGCTGTTTTACGCTCATTTGCACGTCGTATACTATAACTATAACTATAAGCTCCGCGTGCGCTGCGAGGCTTATCCGGTCGCGCATATTCGCCGATTATTCAATAACGGGACTTAAATTATAATCGTTCTCGCCGGCCGATCCGCGCTTTCAGGGCGGACTGTACATGCCGTCGTCGTCGTCGTCGTCCACATATATGGGATACACGCGAAATTTACTGCCTTTTAGCCGTGGATGTCGTGGAATTCCACGACGAAATTGTTTCGGAACTATGTGGCGGGCTTTTTGTTACGGTAACGCTGCAAAAATCCAGGCGAACGACAGTGAAAAAATGCTCTTCTTCCTTCCGTGCTGCGCCGTTTCGAGCGCGTGGTTTTCGTCCGTTCGCCGGGAATTTTTGCCCGTCGCAAACTTTCCCGTCGACACGTACACGCCTGCGCGCGCGAGCGGTTTCACGAATATTTTTAATGCCAGTCGCGCCGCTAACGAGTTAACTTGATGAATGGCAATATATTCCTCTGCCGCCCTTCCGCGCGCACCCACCCACCCACCCCCCCCCCTGCCATTATTACATCGCGATTTTATAGCGACTCACGCGACTCGCGCGCGCCGGACTCCGCACGGCGCATCGCGTTTAATTATTCGATCGTGTTTATCATGCATTTGCATAAACGCTAAACAGACGTTTTACGTATCAACTCTCCGCATGAAATAAAATCAGAGGAGCGCGATGCGCGCGATGGGGGAGAGTTTTTTCCATTCGAAAACACCGCCTCGCGGTAACAATAATATGCGACAAGGGGGCGGGGAGGGGGAGGGGGACAGAGAGAGAGAGAGAGAGAGAGAGAGAGAGAAAACGTGACGAATGCGATCGTGATAAAAGGCGCGCGCGCGCGCATGTTTAATTCAGCCCACGAAAATATCGCCGCCTCGTTTACAAACGGCCGCGGGGACGACGACGGCGAGCGCAACGGAAAAAAGGCCGTTGCTTAATTTATCCGTGACGCTCTCCGCCGTCTTCGCCGGGCCCGCCGCTGCGCCGGTGGCTGTCGGTAATTTCACTTTTCGTCGTTTATGATTGGATCCCCCGGGAGAGTCCGTTCGACGACGACGCCGACGATCGCCTCCACCACATCCTTCACGATCTTTTTTTCTTTCGGTCGTTACCGCGCCGCATGCACGGTATCCTCCCGTCTCAACCCCTTCCCCTTGTCGCCTCCACGGAGGATCCTTCTTCATTTCCTTTCGACGAAAAGTAATTATTTGAAAGACGATATGTACCGTCGGATCGTCTCGCGTTACACGCAGGCCGACCACCGACTGCCGGCCGAGCGAGCGCTCGGAAAACTTATATGCCCCCCCTCCCCCCCCCCACCTTTTTACGACCTTGTTTTATTACACGTGCAGAACACGTCGTTCTACTCGAACTGGACTATCTCATGCGAGCATGCGTTTTTAATGGGCTGGCGACGCGATAAATACACCGCATCATTAATACCTACCATCGTTCAGCTTTCGTGATGATCCTCTGGGAGACACGAGAGACGTCTCTTTACTCTTTAGACTTGATCGAGACGATCCATCATTCACGGTGAGATCCCGGATGGTAGTTTCGGCCGCCCAGCTCGGTGTTCGTGTACTTCGTCATTATTTGACAAATAATCATGAAAACCTCATGAATTTTTGATCACTCTTTGCGGATCTCTGCGTGCTTTCTTATCTCGTATTAAAAAAATTATTATGTTGATCCAAACGTTTGAATAGTTTATAGACAAACGAATTTTTAACTAAGCTCTCAGCCAAAAATTGTAAATAATTTGCAGCTATGTGGCTTCATTATATTGTATTATATAATAACTTATATTTAAAAAATTATATATGAATACATAATACAAAATAAAATACATAATACTATTCAAAAATATTCTTAATGGTAATAAGTTAATAATATTGTGATATGAACTTAAAAATGAACTTAAAAATGTTTATAATTCAAGAAACCAATAAACCTTTTTTTACAGTAATATTAATAAAGTAGTATGCAAATCATATGCGGGAGCTCTAGGAGTCGTTCAAAATGAGCCTTGTAAAAAGATAGCTTTTGTACAAAATAACCTTTGAGAAAGAATCCTATTAGTTTAGAAACTTTCAAGACGCTTCTACGTATTGCAAGAAAAACTCTCATAAATAGTTACATAATTATTACGATAATATATGGTACCAGTCTTAAAGTCTCTCCGTGGTTGAAAGGACCGAAAGTTATTTCGCCTGCTATACATAGGACAATAACTTTCCTCAGTAAGATTCCTCAACGTAGTTTTGATCTCTTGCGCAATAGACTCCGATGTTGATATAAAAAAATTTGGACATCTCAGTGACGACAATACATCGATCAATGTCACCTCATCGTGCAAATCTACATCGAATCTTATGATCACATTTGGTCGCTTGTTCAATGGATTGTTTATGTATTCGTGGTGTAACATACGACTAAATTCGAACTTAAGCGACCGTCCGTGCTCCTTGCATTTGCGACAAAGATCGAAGCAGCTATTTTCGGCCTTGGGTTCTAGTCCTATTAACACGACCGTTAGCTCCTTTATCTCATGTAAACCATGAAGAAGAAGTTCCCAGGCCGCTGCGTAATCTGCCTCGAGGTAGCTTGATGTTATTACGTGACACACAAAACATTGAGTATGTCCGTTTAGAATGTCTATCTCTGCTTTGATCATCCCATAATACACTGTTAACGGTGTCGACACGAAGTCGGTGTAGAAATATTCCTTACTTGTCCAGAATTCAGGAAACATGACCCAGCAACAATAATTTTTCACAAAACTCTCCATGTCGTCAACATGTCTCATATCGTCCGGGAAAATAGAGAAATCATAGTCAAACTTTATCCCCGCGAGTCTCATTTCTAGGTTCAGGCAGAACGTTAAATCCGGACAATGCTTATTATGCTTAATTAGAAATTGCTGCTCGTGTTGTTCGCAATAGCTGGCGGAATAGCATATGTTACATACTTTGAGATCAAACTCCTGAAAACAGACGTAACATGATTTTGCAAACATAATCATCTCCTCTTCGCATGGCATTAATAGGCGTCGCATCTCTTTCTTCATTATCCTCAGAAGGTCCCTCCTTGAGTTGACCCAATCGACTCTACTTGGAGAATACTTTTCATATTTGCTACGTAATCGTAAAAATTTCTTCATATTTACGCAGAACTCCGTGTGATCTTCTCGATGCAGGTGTTTGTGTTCGACGCTGCAGTAAGAAATCGAAAGGCACTCGTTGCACAATATCAAATTTCCACCATTTGTTCCCTTGCAAACGTGACAAAGGTCCGGATAGAAAAAATTATTATAAGCATCAGGCTCGGATAAATTAGGCGGTATTACGTCTGCCCAATCGTTGTTCCAGTTATTCTGCCTCATCATGATATATATTCACCTGACGGAAACAAATGATACTTTCCTGTAATCTCTTACTTTAGAAATAATGCGCGTATGTAATACAGTAATACAGTACCTTGGTACAGTACCTTAGAAATAAGAAAGTTTTCCAAACACAGCTCAAATGTACCACTGATGACTGTTTGGAGGAAATCCGCAATATATTTATAAATATTCTCGGGTGCGTGCGCGCGTGCGCCTCAGTTATTGTTTATACGCTGAATCGTATTCGACGATGTAACGGACTACAAATATTATATTCGTTACCAAGTTGAATGTCGCGCGAATAAACACACAATACGAAACGCTAACAATATAATATACATTCTGTTACGTATTACTCTCCGCTCGTTTGCACTGCTGAACAGCTGGCGATTCTGATCTCGCTGCGATCATAAATTTTTTACGTCCACCAAGCATGCGTTTACATTCGCGATTAAATTCCGTAAAATAAAGACAATCGTTGTTGCATCAAGTTTAATATCGCGAAAGTAATCCGCGGTATCGTATTGCAAGCATCTTGTACCTCGCGATTATTCCGTTCGCGAAGTGAATTGAAGCGCGTTAATTTTGCGCTAAGCGCTAATCTGTCTTCTGTGTTTCTGTGTTTGCAAACTTTGATACATTATTCACAATTCGCGAGTCGCGAATACGTTGTCAAAAAATCGTGACTTATCGTAACGTGCACGCATAAAAAAATATATCATGTATTTGAATAAATGTCCACTATTTTTCAAGTTTTTCATAAGTTTCCAAACTTATTATGAGCGTCATATTTATTTCTCGGCAGAAAGATGGGAAAAATTTGTGGAAAACGGAGGGAAATATTTTGAGTTATTAAGGTGTTCGTTCATTATCTTATTTAAATAAATCGGTTTTTGAGAATAAAAATCCTCAAAACCAAATCACACTCCTAATATATTGAGTATTGGACTTAATTTTAAAGGATTTACAAGAGATGGCGCAATGAGCACCTAATGGCATCGGCCCATACTGAAGCCAACTTCATATGAAAGCCCTGTCATTGGGCTTTAAGAATCAGTATATTTCATTTGGTCGTAGTGTAAATAACATATTTTTCTAGCGCATTCAATATGTCGAGTTTTATGCCAACGAAACGCAATTTGCGGGAAGCGTTATTTTTTTGTTTCCATTTGAAAAAATCGAAAAGCTCAAAGTCTTCGTTTGTTGTCCGAAGCTTATGAGGATTATGCTCCATCGATCTCAGCTTGTTTAGATGATTCAAAAGTGGAGATTTTGATTTGGAAGACAAGGAACGCCCTGGTCAACCGAAAAATCGGCCTAAGATCGACCAACACGATCTCGGTTCCTTCTCAGGACACTCGGAGTCGGATGAAAAACGAATCAACCTCGAATCAGTCGTGGAGTTCGTGACTATAAGCGGCGACTGCAGGGGTAAAGCTGTATTTAACCACTCCATGCGGGCCCGCGAAACGGCATGAATTAATGACGCACTAACGGCCGCGCGGCGAAGCCGATTCCGCGTCATTCGATCGCGATACGTCTGGCCGATTCATAAACCACCCTCCAGCGATGGCCTCGCGCTCCGCGTGGGTGTTTTCCTACATTACGGCGGGCGGCCTCTGCGTGCCCACGTAACACGCGTGTGCGTGACTCGCGGTGCGTTAACGGAAGCGAGTAAAGCTCCGCGTTCGCAATCTGATTGGCCGGACCTTCTCGTAATTGCCTGTAGATCCCAAATCGCGATTAGCCGGGAAATTAATACGATTCTGGATCCACGATTTATGCGAGCCGGCCGTTGGATTATGCACGCACCGTGTCGGTAACTCGTGCGTAACCGCGTCGCGCGACGTTCAAGGATCCGTCCGACGAGAGAGCGAGAGAGAGAGAGAGAGAGAGAGAGAGAGAGAAAGAAAGAAAGAGAAAGAGACAGCAGCGAGCCCTCCCTCGGTGGAGGCTAGTTCCTCGCTTATCGTCGACGATCGCGCGTCTCGAAACGTGATATCGTGCTGTTTCCGAGCTAGTAGTCATTTAGCGGATAAACACATGTTGAAGGTGAGCAATAACGTCGGAGCTAATACTTCCACGGCGTGCAGCCGGAGGAAGCGCTACTCGCAGTCCCGCCGTTCGTATCTCGTTACGTGCGGAGGGACGTACTTTGCCCCGAAGAGATCCGTTAAAACACTGTCCGTTTAATGTGTATCGCTGCGCCGTTTGTCTATTCCCTTTTCCCGCTCAGGCAGGAATCACGAATCCCGCCGTCCGCATCGCACGCGAGCAGAAAAAGCGCCGTCGACGTCGAGGCCTCGGTGTTGCCGTTGCCGCGGCGGTTGGCCTCACATTACTCTTCCGCCGCGGCCGCGGTGAGTGCTTTTCGACAGAAAGAAGCGAAAGAGAAACGGACGCATCGGGAGGGCAGTGAAAAAGCGAGATTCCGCCAGGACGGCGAGACAGAGTGGCTCGCAGAGAGCAGAGAGAGAGAGAGAGAGAGAGAGAGAGACAGGTATCGAGCTCGTGGTTAGCAAATCGCGTAGCGTTAAAGGGTGGCCGGTACGCCATCCCCGACGACTCGGGTCAACAGGCATTGTCCGGCGGAATTACCACTAGCGGGCGTCTGTGATTAAATGCTGCCGTCCCTCCACCTCTCGTCCCTCCAAGAGGATCCGGGGAGGAAGTGGAGGGCCGGGGAGCGAGAGAGGAGAGTGGAACAGGGAAGCTACAGCGCTCAGCGGAGAGTGTGCGAGAAGGAGAGCGACTAATGGAAACGATGAGGGGAACAGGCGGTGGGGCGAGGGGGCAGCGAAGGGGAAGGATGGGAGACAGACAGAGAGAGAGAGAGAGAGAGAGAGAGAGAGAGAGAGAGAGAGAGAGAGAGAGAGAGAGAGAGAGAGAGAGAGAGAGCAGAGGGATACGTATATACCTATATGGGGGCTGCCGCCGCGTCCGTACACTTGCATACCTATACCTTGCTGAACCCCTCGACCCTTACCCCCATACGGAGATGGATAATGCCCATTGTTTCGAGCATCCTACGCATCCTTGGTCCAGGACGCGATATCTAGGAGCCTTCCTCGAATGCTTGCGCCGCGATACGATAGGTCCAAATGGTAGCTAAATACCCGCCTAAACGCGACCACAACTAGCAATCCTCCGGCAGCTTCCGCATCCGAGCCTCGGGCCGCTCGAGCAGCCGCACCGGATACCTGACGATCGGCATTCAGGTGCAAATTGGGCACGCGCGGCCATGAATGTCGTCTGTGATTTCCGACCGACCTTCCGAGCGCTCCATCATGTTGCTCGTTAAGCCGCGTCTCATTAGACGGAATTCGCGTCGGTCATCGGGCGCGATTGAGACTCGGTGCAACGAGTCGAGGAATAAGCTTGTCTCGTTAATGTCAGCGTTAATATCAGTAATTAAGATACCGGAGTAATATCAAAGACCCGACAGAAAGGAGAGAGGAGGGAGGAGGGTCGACAGGTGGGATATGATCGAGTTTCTATCTTGCGGGAAGTGATTCAAGACGGCGGTAGGGGTGGCGGTAAAGGGTGCGGACGGGGTTTTCTTAAAGAAACAGGCCGTCTCGCAGGTATTTGTTGTAAACCACTTGTATGTACAAATATGACCAATATCTATACAACATACTTTGTTTCTTACGTCCTCTTTGTTAATGCCGTATATGTAATGACTACTCTATGTACAAAAACTCGTCTCGCGTTACAAATCCGCGCGTCGTTACGTCGCGTGGCAGTGTGTGTGTGTGTGTGTGTAGTGACTCCTCTCTTTCTTTTCTTTCTCTCATTCTCCGTAATCTCTTAGATCCATGGCCCCAGGCGGCTCTCGAGTACATTGGCCGCGTCGACGCGCCCCATCAGTCTTAAATGGTTCAGCAAATCCGCCAGAGCCGTAGCTTCGCGATGTCTGGCCTCCCACAAGTCCAGAATATGCTCGGTCGGACTCGCCTTCGTCGCGAAGTAGTCAACGTATCTGCATATCAGAGTGCCGTGTGTCGGTTGTTATATGTTTCTCTTACGCGAAAGGATCGCGGGAGGGGGGGGGATTAAAGAGAGACGAAAGTCACTTTGTTGCGTTTTAACAAACTCCGAACACTCACCGATCCACTTGCAATCTCTGTGCCAGCATTCTCCAGTCGTTGCCGCGCGCGCTTGGCGGATCCAGACATTGGCATAGTTGCTTCCTCAGCGTCTTGGAAAATCTGCAATGACCGGAAGTCTCTCACTGCTTTCGTCCTTATATTCGCCATTTATCGTCTATTCGACGTAGAAAAGTGTCACGAGTGTATACCTGAAAGGTCTCGGAATGACGGATTCCGTGGACCTCGTCGAGCTTTTGCTCCGCAGGACAACGGAGGATTCCGCTTTACCGTTCCTCTTGCCGTTCATATTGTTCCTCTTCACGAGGTCCAGATCAATCCTCAGCAGCAAGCCTTGATCCTCGAAGCCGCGCTGGCAAGCGCGAAGCTCGAAACCGAGTCTGAGGTCGCCGACGATTTTCTCTATCCTGAAGGAACGCCGAATGCTGGTCCTCGAGGACGACCAGATGCGCCGGTACGGTATCTCCTGCCGCTCCGCGAAGCCGCTCTCTCGATCCTCGAGGTCGACGCGAAGCGAGGTGCCGCTAGCGCGAAATCCGAGGGTGCCGTGATCGATATGGCTGCTGCCTAAACGACGTTCCTGCGGAAGGATTATGCGCGACCGTGTAGAAATAGGAAGCCAGAGGATATTTTAATATATCGCTTAGCTCTCCTTGCTCATCCCGAAAGAAAAGCTTCGGTTCGTGCTTCAATAATTTTTTGCCACGGTGAACTTTAAGGTGAAAAGTTCTACGCACAGAAAAGAATACACTGCACTTTTCAGATAAATGTTACTCGCGTTTCACGCGTTTCAAAATTATCACCAAAGTTAATCATAATTCTTTACTCAAAATACATTCCGAGTTTTAGTAAGTTTGATATTACAACCGAGAATCAAGAATATTACATTTTAAAATGTTACATTAGAAGAATGTTAAATTAATACAAAAATTCAATTTGTTTTTCCTGCGCAAAATATATTTCTCCCTGTGTGCAAATAATAAAAATTTATTGATCGAAAAAAATGTTTAAATACATAATAAGAAAAAATAAAATAGAACGGAAGCAAAAAATAAAAAGCAATGACTGAAGTAAATGCAACGGCAAACAAATAAATGCGTAAGTAGATAAATAAATGAAATAAATATAAATGAATAAGACAGATGATTCATAAATTACCATAAATAACGCACAAATGAGCATCGAAAGTGTAAGATAAAGCGACAAAGCTTGGAGCATTAAAGTCAAATTCAACTGAAAAATCAAACCGATTTGTTTACCCGATCCACCAATTTATAACTATTGGGTGAGTGCAAAAGTTCGTGCGGAGTTTCAATAGATGGAGTTATAAGCGTCGTAAAGTGTTGTCATTAATACTTCCATCTACATATTATATAACGTTGGAAAGGTGACGTCTTCAGCTGTTATTAAAAAAAAAATCATTTGTTTTCATACAAACTGCTTCGAGAAATATCACTTTAAAAATGAGTATCGATAAGGTGCATTTACGGCATGTTATGCTTTACGAGTTTCGGAAGGGAATAAACGTTGCCGCAGCCGTAAAAAACATTCAGGATGTTTATCAGGATGAAGCACCAGCTTCGAACTGTGGAAAAATGGTTTGCTAAATTTCGGCGCGGAGAATTTAACCTTGAAGACGAGCCACGCTCTGGTCGACCTTCTGACATTGATGACGATGTTTTGCGTACTTTAGTGCTCAATAATCCGCGAATTTCAACAGAAGAAGTTGCTACAGCACTAAACGTTGACCGATCAACCGCTTTTCGGCGTTTAAAAAAGATAGGATTCGATTTGAAGCTCGATATATGGGTGCCCCATTTGCTGACCGAGAAGAACAAAATCAAGTGAATTTCTGCAGCCGTTTCTTTACTCGGGCGGCTCAATAACGAGTCGTTTTTGGATCGACTAGTGACGGGCGATGAGAAATGGGTCCTCTACAACAATGTTCAGCGCAAACGGACATGGAAACAATCAGGTGAGCATGGTGACGCAATGCCAAAGGCCAGTTTGCACCCGATGAAGGTGATGCTCTCTGTTTGGTGGGATTGCAAGGGCATAATCTATTTCGAGCTTCTCCCCGCTGGCGAAACGATTGATTCGGACAAGTACTGTCGCCAATTAACCAATCTGAATCGAGAAATAAAAGAGAAACGTCCGATTTTGTCAAATCGCAAGGGAGTCGTCTTTCATCACGACAACGCCAGACCACGCGTTTCGAAAAAGACGCTGCGCAAACTGAAGAGCCTGAAATGGGATGTCGTAACGCATCCACCGTATTCTCCTGATATCGCACCATCTGACTATCACTTGTTTCGGTCATTGCAAAATTATTTAAATGGAAAAATCTTTGACTCTTTGGACGCCTTAAAAAACGGCGTCTCTTCGTTCTTCGAATCTAAACCGCGCAGTTTTTATGATCGAGGCATCCGTATGCTGCCAGAACGTTGGGAAAAGATTATAGAAAACGATGGAGAATATATCATTGATTGAATAAAGATTTTTGTTTGCCTAATCACTGTGTGACTTTTACTCACAAACTCCGCACGAACTTTTGCACTCACCCAATATTAAACACGCACGTGCACATTAAACGACGAAGAATTATTCGCAGAAGCTCAACGACAAAGGATAAAAATTCCATAAAAGTTTTCACGCGAACTCTCCGACGGAGAAAATTTCCATCGAATAATACACCATACCATATCGCATAACTGAAATGTACTATTTATATATCATATTACAACAGTTTATATATTGTAACAAATGATGAATATTAATTAATAACAATTAATAAATTATCTGCGTTCGGATATCTTTACAATATAAACATTTCTGTCGCACGTAAAATAATTTCCACCATTTTTCTATTATTCTCAAACGTTTTGAATAATAGAAGTACATTCTAGCAGGATAAATTAGTAAGTTAATCTCTAAACTTTCGGGAATAAAGTCTCGTTCAAAATGAGCGAACACCGACAACACCTACCCTCGAAGCGATAATGAAAGTACCACTCCTCGAAAGCGCAAGAGTCAATATTTCACTCAAGCTTAGAACGGATCCTAACTCTGCAGCGAATATTTCAGTCGATTGTAACAAATATATTCCTGTGCGACTGTGGAGTACACCAGATCACTCTCCGCTTTGGAGAGGAAATATTCACTCGACGTTTTAGAGTATAAGATTCCATATATAAGCGAAGCATCGCATGAATTCCACGGTGAGTCGACGATCGCTCAACATATTTTGTGCAAAATTTCACTTCAAGAAATTTCATCACATTTACAGACTATTTTCCCGGTGTGTAAAAACATTAACCTTCATTTGAATAGAAGAACCTTCGAAGCTTCTCTTTCATTAAAAACCAAATATGATAAATATAATAGTATAAATAATCTATTATATACAGGATGTCCGGGATGTTTTGGAAACGAAAAATTTCGAAGATTAATCAGACCAAACTGAGAAGAAAAGTCAAGTACCATTTTGCAAAAATCACAATAGTTATTAAGTTATTAATGATTAAAAATGACTACATCTATAGGCTCTTTTAATCGATAACTTGAACTTGAAAATTTACATACTTTGTAAAATGGTACAAGACTTTTTTGTTCAGAACAACCTAACCTACAATTATATGATGGCTATTTTGTCTAGCCATAGATACGAGTATATTGAACCCTGAATCTTGAACCTGTCGCTATAATTGCAGGTCATTCTGAACAAAAAAGTCCTTTACCATTTTGCAAATAAGTACGCAAATTTTCAAGTTGTAAATTAAAACAGTTTCTAGATATGGCCATCTTCAATCGATAATAACTATTATTATTTTTATATATTATACTTCTATATGTTATAAAATACTACATGACTTTTCTTTTCAATTTAATCTGATTAATCTTCACAATTTTTCGTTTCCAAAAGATCCTGGACACCCTATATATTAATGTTTGTATTAATGTATATATTAATGTATTTTATTAAATAAATTGACTTAAAAGAAGTAAAATATTTTAGAATTGTTAATTTCAGCTGTGCGGAATAATTCTACACTGAATAAATAGCCTATCAAATACAGAGTGGGGAAAAACGGTCGGAGACTATCTGAATAACTTTAAAAGTATGCAACATAGGAAAAAAAGTTAAATACAGAAGTAAATTTTAAGCAATTATATAATAAAAAATAATGCTTTTCATTTAAAAAATCCTCGGTGACCTTCCCATAAACTTAATAACGCTGTTCAAGGTCATACTAGTATTGCTATGTGACGCGTCGCTTAAAACCCTACAAACAACTTCTATATATGTAATATATTTTTTCCTATCTAGTATATTTTCAAATTTTCAATTATGCCGATTTTTTTCCCCAATCTACATATTAGTGTTATGAAATTTTACTAAACAAATAAACTGAGTTAAAAGAAGTAAAATATTTCAGAATCATTCAATTTCAGTTTTTCTCCGTATTGAGAATATCTGTTAGACCTCTGTTCGTTGTATTATAAAATCACTCTATCCTGATGATGATTAATATTTTCCAGAAAGAAAAAAATTTCACGCCGTGACGCCGGCGTAACGAATCTTTTGGCGCGAGTTGTATAAGAAAAAACATAAGTACCAACGCTTGGACACGTATCTAATTCTTTCCGTGCAACGTGAAGTTTCAACAGTGCGCAACAATAGAGAGAGACAACAACATGAAGAAAGCGCTCACCTGCTCGCTGACTAGCTTGAACGCCGCCTTGGTGTCTTCGAGCACGTGGCACCTGACGTAGTCGCGCTCGCGTGACACGAAAACCGCCAAGCAGAGGCGCTTGACGGCCAAGCCGGGCGCGACCACGGAATTCTCGCCAGCCACCGCGTACACACTCGGCGTCTCCGTGACGAGGAACACGCCAGCATGGTCGAGCTGCGCGAACGGCTGACCCGGCAGATTCGTCGGGTCGCCGCCCAACATCAGCACCTTGCGCCACACCGTCGCACCGGACGAGCTCGAGCCGCTGGACGAGCTCGCGGAGTTGGTCGAGCCGGTCTCCAGGTCGATCTCCGCGGACCACAGACTCAGCTCCCAGTTGCCGGTTCTCAGCTCGGCGCAGTGCTCGAACTGGAGGATCACAGGCTTCACGAGATCGACGCCCGGCGGGCCGCAAGCCACCACGGCGGACAGCAGAGTCAGCCCGGGTGGGAGGTTCGGCCTGAAGGAGTTGTCCCCGAGCACGGCGAGGTGCAGGCTGTGCCGACGACCGCGCGAGATCGCGCCTTCCGGTACAGACATCGAGACGCCCACCTCGGGCACGACCAGAAGCGCGCCTTGCTCGTCGATCAAGGCTCTCACGATGAAGCCGTCGCCGGCGCGGTCGTCTTCCGCCGACAGCCGTTCGTCTTCGTCCGGCCGGTCGTCGTCGTCCTGCTCGTCGTCGTCCTCGTTGGTGCTCTCCGGATTCGCTTGGCACGTCGAGCCTGCTTGTATGTTGACTTATAAATCGCTAACGGGCGACGAGCGCGGAAGTGGATCACTTCTCGTGTGTGAAGCTTCAATTCCCGGGAATTTATCGTACAGAGGGTCTCTGATCAGCCGAGCGTGAGCCGACGATCGTGCGCGGTTAGCTGAAGAGAAAAATACTCCACCATCTGGCGATCGTTTTACTCGTGCGATAGTTGTGAAGAGAATGATTTAAAGAATATCAGCAAGTGAATGCGCGATCGCGAACGATGAGACAATTTCTCCGTAGACTTTTCTGTTCTGAGAATCTGTCTTAAGAATGTCTCGGGTTAATTATTATGATTCATTCACAGACAGTCGTTAACTTTTTAAATAATTCTTATATCATCTGTCTTCTCTTTTGTTGCAATTGGCATTAACAATGTGTAAATCACTAATACATTGTGACATTGTATAAATTATTAATAAATATTAAAAATGATGAATAACGAAACAAAATAAAATGAAACATTCAAGTAATTACACAATACCGTGTAATAAGGAGTCTCAAACATATAAAATATGAAACAAATACGTAATAATTTCGATGATATCCCAGGCAGCACAAGGCGACCTCAAAGTAATGCTGAATAGGTCCAGGATGTCCTAGGATATTTTCAGGATACTCTTGAGATATTTTCAGGATATTTAGTAGTGTTATTGTAAATATTTAAATCGTTTTCTCTTCGTCAGGACATCCAAAGTATATCGGAATAAAATTTGGATAGCCACAGGATATCTGGAATGTTCGTCCTGGATGTCTTTAGGATTGTCGGAGGATGTCATTGTGCTATCTGGGATCTCTATACTTGAAATTATTTTGTGATTTTGTGATAATTACTGCTGTTGTAATTACAACTTTATTGTTGTAATTACGATTTTATTGTAATTATAATTCGTTGTATTGGATAAGTGTCCAAATTTTGAGAGATTTTCCCCAAAAGTATCTCCAGTTTTATAGCAGCATTTATAAACATGTAGATGTATAATGTACCAAGGATAACAATAGCGATTATTTAATAAATTGTATAAACTGATTTTGATAAAGATACACAGCTTATTCTTCTACCCAAAATCCATCAAAATGTTTTCACCCAACCAGTAATTACCATCATACTTAAAATTTTGTTGCAATTATTGCACTTGTCTTTGAAACTTCGTCGTAGTACAATATTTTTTTCATTATTTTTAATAAAGTTACTTTATTACTTCACTTAAATTACTTTATTTTTAATCAAAGTATTTTAATAAAATTATTTTTAATAAAATTACTCCTTATTTTTAATAAATTGTTTTTGTCCAAAGTCTATCAAAACTTTTACACTCACCTAATAATTATCGCAATACTGTCATTGCAACTTTATCGTACTATGATACATGTCCTTCTTTGTTTTTAATAAAATTACTTAGCCCATTTTTTCTGTAGAAAATCCACTAAAACGTTTGCATTCATCCAGTAATTATAATTTTGTAATAATTACCGCAACTGGCGTTGCAACTTTGTTGTACCACAATATTTCCTCCACATAGAGGAGGACTGTCCCGTTCAATAGAAAACGCGCTGCACATGAGCATCGGCACACGGTAAGGATGGGCGATACAATAGAAAATATCGTATCGATATTTCATATCGATACGTATCATAAATAGAAATATCGATATATTAAAAATATCGAATACAAAATGTCGATATTAGTAATATCAATACCACTAATATCCTTATTTTTGACTTTGTATGTACCTACTATATATTTATTTATTGATTTATATTTGTTTATATTAAAATCTATTATAGTTACCATTTTTGGAATGCGTCAGAAATAGATGTATTCCTAGTCATTTCATAGGAAAAAAGGAAAGAATCCAATTACATTGACGAATTGCTCAACCGTTGTATAACCTATATTTTCTGAACGCAGCCTTATATTTAAGTCCGTCTTAAGTTCATGTTTAGATACTATGTAGCCAATGAAATGATCCATACAATATCTGAAGATGAACTTAAAACGGTCTTAAATATAAGATCCGACTATGAATACCGGCCTAAATGTGTGCAGATTAAAAATATTATTTGTTTAGTTTCGGCGACATTTTCGTTTAAGACGGAGTACTTTTAACAAATTACATGATATGTACGTAAATTCAGAAAGCTTCTTAAATTACCTGCACTCATAAAAATGTTAGCATAAAATTACGCACTCCGAGCAATTGCGCCTAATAACAAAAAATTACTAGGCACTGGGACGGAGCGAGTGCATGTCAATCGAATTCGCCATTAATTTGCAACGGTTTGCGACAATTCAAATGCAAACGGAACTGAGAATGGCTGTGGTTGGTAGCGCTAGTTCCAAAAGTTTCGGTTTCGTACGCTAAAATTTTCGCCCAATAGAATACTAATGATTCGTATTGAACTATATCGGAAGTCCGATATTGCTCTTGAAATATCGATACACAGTAATATTGAAAAGAAAAATATCGATATTTAGATCCAAAAGTATCGATATTTTAAAATATCAATACTGTATCGCCCATCCCTAGCACACGGCGGTAATCATCAGAGACACCCTTACAATATTTTCCAGAACTTCCGCGGAGAGATATTCGCCGCGAGTATACTCGCTCTCCGGATCGCTCGGCAAAGACGACGGGCGATTCATCGAGATTGATTACGCTCTTAAAGAGAGTTCTCGTGTTCTCGAATCGAATATATAAGGAGTCTCTTACGGGAAGATCGACCCTCCTCGTTATCCGACATGCAGCGTCCCCGTTGCGAATTCTTGCAGGAGGACCTAGTTACGGAGGAGCTCGGTGACGGCCTCGTTGTCGACGGTAATGACAATTGCGGGACGTCGTAATGATGCTCCGAGCAGGATCTGTGTATGATGCGTAATCCGTCTGTACATACGTCTGTACGTGTGTGCGAGTGGGAGTATGCGTGCGTGCACACGCAGAGCGCGTGAAGTTATTAGGTGATGAAAAAAGTTCGCACGGTTTTTCTCTGAGATGCAATGAGTTGCCGAATTTCGTCGAGACTCGTCAGGCATGCGTGTTTATGCACATCATACAGTACAGATTCGCGTGAGTTAATCGGTGAACTGTGTCGTGGTATGGTCCCTTTATTTATTCCTTTTTAAAATATCTGTTGTAACTCGATCATATTTGCTTTACGAATTTAAACTCGAACCAAAAGCATGCGGAAGCATATCGCTAGATATGTGTAGTATTTAGAGAAGATGTGCTGGAAGAACTGACTGAAAGTGGTTTAAAAAATTTTTTTCTGGCGATAAATCACTTGAAGATGCACCATGTTCATGAAGATCCTCCGTTGTTGATAACAATGATCAATTATTTATTATTTTTATCAATTATTTATTCTACATGAATTGTAACATTCATTCGTCTGTCGATTACATTTTCTCTGAAAATTTCTGTCCTTGTTCAATTGTTAATATACAAAACCGCATGAACTTTTTTGTTCACCTAATATTAGGAGCGTCATTTAATTTTGAGGATTGTGCAAGAGATGGCATTAATGTTAATTTTGTCGGAGATATTCCAATTACAGCTATTGTTTCTTAATACTTTGATATTAATCTACGGTAAAAATCATGTTAATACCGTCTGACAAATGGAGCTTCCTAAAGAGCATTTTCGACATATGTTACTTTTGTTTTTTAATCAGAAGAAAACGGCAACTGAAGGTCATATTCAATTCTGATAGAAACTTGTGATGATACTGCTTCATCAATTAAGATATGGATATTGGTTGTATTGGATATTGGATATTGGATATTGTGGATACTGATTTAGACGATTCAAAGTGGAGATTTCAATGTTAACGAAAAAGATCGTTCGGGACAAGCAAGAAAGCTTGAAAATGCAGATTTGCAAGCATTATTGGACGAAAATCTAACACAATCCACTTCAGAACTTGTCAGAGCATTAAATGTTGATTGCACAACAGTTACTAAACGTTTACATGATATGGGAAAGAAAGAAAATGAGAAAAGAAGAAAAATGGATCCACATAAATTATCGGGAAATGCAAACCGGAACATTTGCATTTCGTTGATCGCGAGACAAAAAATTAAGAACTTTTTGTATCGGATTGTTACTAGAGATGAAAAATGGATCTATTTCGATAATCTCAAATGGGAAAAATCATGGGTTGATGCAGGCCAATCAGCAATATCCACTTCGAGGCGTAATATTCACGATTCAAAGCTGTATTGCTGTGTATTTGGTGGGATCAAGAAGGTTGTTGTGTACCATAAACTGTTAAATCCGAATGGAACTGTCACCGCTGATCGTTATCGACAACAATTATATAAATTGAAGCGAACATTGGACTAAAAACGATCACCAACTTTGCGTGTAAACGACGCAAAGTGATCCTTCTTCGCGACAATGCTCGACCTCATGTGGCATTATCAATGAAGCAAATGTTGTTAGAGCTAGAATAACAAGTTTTACTCTGCGTATTCTCCAGACATTGTTCCAGTCGATGCAACATGTTTAGAGGATACACACTTTCATAACTTTGAGCAATAACTTTGCGAAAATTTATTGAAAATTGTATGAACTTCAAAAAAGTATCTTTTTATCATCGTGGAATCCATCTCTTGCCAGGAAGATGGGAAGAAGTTGTAGAAAACGAAGAAAGATATGTTGATTGAAGATATTCGTTCATTATCTCGTTTAAGTAAATCAGCTTTTGGGGGAAAAAATCCCCTTAAAACTAAATCGCACTCCCAATACACAGACGCAAGCCGAAGGCTAATTCGTCGCGCTAATTTTTTATTATCTCGACTTATCACGGATATGGGTACCTGGGTAACCGGGCGGCGTTCGTCTCGTCAATCACGTGCTCGAGGCGCCGGTCATTAGCCAAGACGTTAGCGCGCTCGTTCTTGGAGACGACGGACTTGGCGAGATCGCCCGGACGTCGGAAGTCCAGCCGCGCGACGCCGTACAGCGCCTCCATCCGCTCTTTCCGGCGCATGAAGCGGACGAAGAAGATGGTGGTCAACGCCAAGATAACCGCGGCTAGGCTCAGAGTGATCCACAACGCGAGGATGTTTCTATGATCGACCGCCCGAGTCGCTACGGGGAGAAATGACCTTTTAACATGATAGAATAGGCGGAGCGCGCCTCGAGCTCTTACACGCCATTGTTTCTCTTTACCTTCCTTGAATACCCTCGGCCCGTCTTGTCCGAGTGCTGCGTGCAAGACAAGAGGAAAAACATTTTGGCCTAGTCGAATTAATACTGTGACTTTTTTGAAAGGTTTTATTTGAGACTTTTTTTATTTAGCTACCGGGATGAACATTGTTTGGAAATTTAGTGTAATTTCGAGATTGGAGCGATTTTGGCAAGAAAAGAATAACGCTTCGGTCTGATTAATTGTTTCAGTCCCGGTTTTGTTACTTAGAAATTTTTTATTTTGGTATTTCAGTACGTGGAAGTCTCTTTTTTATTTGGCTACTTCTCATTTTCAAGATATGATGAAATTTTAACATAAGTATGAAGTGAAACGTAGGTGTAGATTAGAGATGTGCGAACTATTCGAATTGGAATCGAATCGAATCTAATATAATTCGATTCGATTCGAATCCGAATTTCTATGATTCGAATCCGAATAATTCGAATAAGACAAATACATTTTCGTTTGCGTGCATCAGCTATAAAACGAGCCATCTGGGCCTGTATGTTTGAACCCTTAACTTGCAATTAACTTAACTTATAATTAATAACTTAATTATAAATTACTTTAAATATTTAAATATATATTTTACTTTAAGATTGATGTTACAATATCAATATTCCCTTTTATATTAAAATCTTCCATCGTTATTTGCATGTTTAATAGTCATGTTAAGTTTTTTAATGATTCGATTCGATTCGAATTCGAGTGAAACTTCATAGATTCTATTCGATTCGAATTCGAATTTAAAAAATGAGATTCGATTCGACATAACAATTCTTGATTCGCACATCTCTAGTGTAGATAGTTTGATTCCAAAGTTCGATCTGAAAAGTGGTTTCTCAGCGAGGAAAAATTAAGAAATTGTATTATCAGAATGCAATCGATTTCCTTCTTCGGAACGAGTAAACCATCGGCTATCTAAAAACGCCCTATTCTACCCACGAAATCAAAGTAGCCTTCGTTTTCGAGATATCGTACGTTGTATTCTTCAAGATACGCCGGGATTCGAAAAAGAGGCTCAATAGGGCTCAATAGGGACGATCTAAGGGCCACAGCACTTTTCGAATCTCTCCTTGTAAATTTCCACCTCAGCCTGCAGACGCGACCAAGCTCGTCGATGAATCATCGCGCGTGCGAAGTCATCGGATGTTACGAATAGTAATCAGGCGCGCGCGGAGAAATGAAGGAGGGGCTGCGCGCGGGCCCGGAGTAAATCGTTAGGCAGCCGCGCGAGTCACGAAGAACAATAAGAAACGCAGAAACGTGGCTGGGGAAGCTCACCATTACATCGATCCGTGACGCAGGACTCGACGATGACGTCCTTGCCTTGACAGGGACGACCGCCGTTGCTAGGCGGGGGGTCGTTGCAGGATCTCCTCCTTACTCTCGAACAATCGGGACCGCATGCAGACCACGAGGACCAAGTTGACCATCTGCCGTCAACCGCTGCGGGGAGCAACGGGGTGGCGGATGAAAATCCCGATTAAAGTGCGATTATCTCACTCGCGAGCGAGAACGGAAGAACGGACGTACGAGTGCACCGAGTTTCAATGAAGGCCCCTCACATTTTTGTCAGGACAAAACTTTTTAGCCCTTCCGACTCACCCTTTTCGCATCGTGCCTGGGTACATGCGTGCTTGTTGATTCGACTAAACGTGACATTCGGCAGGCAACCCGAATGTCACGAGTGAGTCCTTCAGCGTATCCTTTAGCGTAGTTGGCGATATATTTTTTTATAATATGTCGCTAACTACGCTAAAAATCGGATCTAAATTGAACGTGTAATTTCTTCGCTTTTATAAATAATAATACAGCATGTTTCTTTCCTGTTTTCTTTACGTACAAGAAAAATATTTTTTCCGTGTTCTTAATGATAATAATAATGATAACAATAATAATCCCGAAAACAACAACAACAACGATAATATTAGGTCATTAAATATAAAATGTCCGATTTCGAATCAAGTTTGGTTTATTATATCTCAAACTAGAAGTAATACAATTAATTAAAGTACCTAAACTATCGACACGATTTTGCTGTCTTAAGGATAACTTATTTACGCCAGCAGCGAAGAAACCTGAAGAGCGGCTGGCGATGAAATCGTGGAAGGCATTTTCCACAGCTTGTTGAGAATTGAATATTTTTCCTTGCAAGAAGTGGTCCAGTGCCTGGAAGAAGTGGCAGTCAGTTGGTATAAAGTCTGATGAATACGGTGGCTAACAGAGAGACTTTCCAAGTTCAGCTCCTGTGGTTTAAGCAGCGTTGTTTGTGCGACATGTGGTCGAGCATTGTCTTGCAAGAGAATTGGTCTGTCTCTATTGATCAATCTCGGCTAGCTTAATCGCAAGCATCCTCATCATTTCGTCCAGTTGGTTGCAGTAGACACTCGCTATAATCGATCGACCAGGTTTCATGAAGCTGTAGTGGATAATACCAGAGTTAGACTACAGAACAGACACCATTAGCTTGTTTTGGTGAATATTCGGTTTCAAATTATGTTTCGGCACTTCATCTTTATCTAACCATTTTGCTGAATGCTTGCGATTGTCGAAAAAATCCATTTTTCATCACACATAACAATGTAAAATAAAAATAACGATGTAAAAATGATTCTCCTTCACGTCGTGATAATAAAGAAAGGTAAGCTTCGAGACGATTTCTCTTCTGACGCTCATTTAATTCACGCGGAATCCATCTATCCAGCTTCTTTACTTTGCCGATTTGTTTCAACTGCTCTAATATTGTTGGAACAGTAACATTAAACCTTGCTGCTGATTCACGCATAGTTTGAAATATATCCGTTTCCACTGCAGCTTCAGCTCATTATTATCCACTTTGGTCTCAGGTCGTCCACGTGGTTCATTTTCAAGATTAAAATCGCCAGAACGAAACTTCTCAAACCATCGACGTACTGTGCGTTCACTAACCACATTTTCACTAAATAGTTCGTTAATATCTCGGGTTGTCTGCGCTGCATCGCTTCCACGACAGAAAATAACACGAATTTTTTACTTACCCATGGTTACACAAAAATTGCTGTAATAAAGACAAATCGAAAAATAATTACAAGTGAAAACATGCATTTGGAAGAGTGATAGCGATCTTCGCAACAAGAAAAAAGCCAAGAGAGAACTGTAAAAGTGAAGTGTCAGAGGTATCGACTGTCGAATTTAGTACCTAAAAGAAATTGGACATTTCGTATTTAATGATGTCGACAATAATAACGTCGTTATCACACTCATCATATCATAATCGGGATTATTATCGTGTTGTTGTTGTTATTATTATTATTACTAAAGTTTCATCGATTACACGCATAAATGACACAACGAATATCGGAACAAAAGCAACAACTTCGTGCCTGATGGCACACAAAGAACGAGGCTGAGCAGCGCTGATGCGAAGCCTAACCTAAACCTAAAAGAAAAAGGCATTTAATCAAGAGCGAACGATAGCTACGAGTGAGAAGGTAAACAGAGATGACAGGTGACGAAACAGGCAAGGTTGATGCAACACAGCGACTGGTGGCGCCGTCTATTGTCCTCTAACAGACTCGAAAATCGCGCGCAATGTACGGGAATAGGCGCCCTGCAGCTCTCGTGGCTGTGTGCGAGGAACCGGGATGAAAAGCTGGGATTGAAAGCGTATCGCGTTAACATTCCCAGACTCCGCTGGGCAACGGTCGGGGTTTCGGGCCCGGTGAATGTTGAGGCTTCCTTGAAGCTCGGCGCACATCCACGCCGCGTATCTTGATCGCGCGCGCGACTTAACCGGCCGAACGTTTAGCGCTTAGCGCCGCCCCGGTGTGGGCGATCGTCAACTCCGATCCCATTAGAATTCGCGACGTCGCGCTATATTATGTCGAGTGTCGCGCGTACATGAGCGCTCTTTGTAGTCCACCTACCGGGACAGGAAGGATTGCATTCTACCCTTTGTGTGGCTGGCCCTGGGCACGTTTGACCGCCGTTGATTGGAACGGGATTTGTACACGTTCTTGTCCTCTTTTGTGCGCCTCTACCGCAGCGAACGCTACACTCCGACCAGCCGGACCAGGACGACCACCCGCCGTTCACTGAGAATGGACCGAGAAGAGGAGAAAGAAAGAAAAAACAAGTGGGGGAGATAGTCCGACGGTGAAATTAAAACGGGAACAAACAGCGTCTCGTTACGCCCCGCGGCTCCAACAGACCAAGAAGACGCAAGGCCAGCGCTGCGCTATTTAAATGTAACAATTTCATCGCGCAAATTTGATCGCTCTGAGATCGCCAAGAGGCAAATCGATGACCCGAAGTTAAATGCAAGACTAAAGAGACGAAGCGATCTCGATGATTCAAGTCTCCGCGGCTAAATTCGACGTGCAATTCCACGTGGTGCGTGACCACGTCTTGGATCACGTCAAGGCCGGCGGCGTGCAGAGAGAGACTTTTCAAGGTTAGAAAAAAGTGCTCAACGGTCATGAGGTCAAATTAAAGCAGTTTTGAGATTCGTTTCGAATTCAATAAGCAATTCTTTTACAAGGATGCGAAACGAAAATTGGTTCTCGTTTAAGAAACGAGAGTTGAACTTGAAATGAGAAAATCATTTTTTATCCTCCGTTGGTTGCATAAAAAAAGTTGCGCCAACGGTCGCATGTACTACATTTTTAGTTTAATTAAACTGCTAATGTAAGTCGATTTTAAGCCAACTCTGCTTTATTTTTTTAATAAGACAAACGAATCCATTAAAACATGGGAAATAATTGTGCAAAACCACCATCTAAGAAGATATTTTGGATATTCTCATCGTTATTTTGGTCTTCAAGTACGAACGTTTAAATATTCAGCATATAACATTGTGTATGTGTCAGGTGCTTGCAAAAGTTCATCGGATTAATTTTATTAATAATAAAAAAATCATACGTATTCGTTTAAATCAAAATATCTATCGTCATTGCCACTTCTCAGTTAATTGTCTGACCCCGTTTCTGAAACACGATACAACTTTCGAGGCAACGAAGTGATCGATCCATTTTCGAAAATTAGATGGAACAACGTTTGTAAGCGTTTTGTCTCCGCAGCAGACTTTTTGGATAAACAAAAAAGCGTACAATGGCGTAGATGCACGTTATTATTTTCTATTTTTACCTGTAATAAAAATGAAGTTACGATGTTACATGAAATGCTGTGGATAAATTTTAAGGTCGTAAGCAAGCTTCTTAAATTTATAAAGCTCCACAAAAAACAGAAAAACAAAACTGTCAACTCGCAGTGACTTCCACTTATTTGTAATCTGACGAACTTTTGCAAGCACCTAATATATCCCATGTTGTAAATTTAAACATTCGTATTTAAAAGTCAAAACAATAAGAATGTCCAGAGTTGAGTACGTCTCCCGTGACTTTACCCAATTAACACGTAGAAGGGCGTGATCGTCGCTTAACTCGCCGCTTCACCACAGCGTTGTCTCAAAGTTAAGAACTATACCCGATATCGCAAATAATCGACGGTGTTCACAAAGGACTTCAGATAGACGTTTAAAACTAGGGCAAGCTTACATCAGAGACCTGTCCCGAGATCGGTTTCGGAAACTTTAGTTTTAGTTGTGAGGTTAGTAGGTCTTCAACTAACTCAGGTAGTTCCGCGATTGATCAGCTGATCATGCGACTAATTTCGCGGAACTATCTCTGTTAGTACAGCGAGTGGGACATAGCTTGGACGCGTTCACGGCCATGTATTTCTGTTTACAAACTTGGCCTTAGCTACTAATCTTGCAATCGATGTCGAATCTCGAATCTCTCGATCGTAAAGTCGATCGCATGAATCAGCATTAGTTACGGGAAAAAATTGCTTCTAAATTGCTTCAAGGCCTACCAATTTTAAAAGTAAAACTAAGGTTGTCAAGACCGATATCGCACCAGGTCTCAGGTTTGCCAGTGATTTGTCGCTGAAGTGGCGCCTCACAGGCAGCTATCGATAACAGCAATCCACAAAAGAGTCACTCACCATACACCGTGAGCACTGCCGGCTCGCTGACCCTCCTCGCAGCTAAGTTCTCGGCGACGCACGAGTAGTTCCCCTGATGGCTCAGTTCGGCCTCGCCCAGCAGCAGGTGCCCGTCGGCAGACTGTACGAAGCTGCTCGCAGACACGTCGTTAGGGTTCACCTCGGAGGCGCCGGAAGCGGCCGTCGTCGTCGTCTCGAGGGGCGAGCCGTTCCTCAGCCAGTAGACCTTGGGCTGCGGCATGCCCACCGGCGGCGAACATCGTAGCTCAGCGTTGCGGCCGACTTCCACCAACAGTGAGTACGGCGGCGATATGAAGTGCTTCTTCAGGTCTGCGGATCGGGTCGCCGGCGACCAGGGATCGCGGCCGATACCAGGCTTTTAGTATTCGCTGGGAAAACGCGTACCCCCTCCTTTCTACTGCCTCCCTTGCGCGCGAAGTTGGATGATGAGGGCGACAGGAGTGGCAGCGAGAGACCGAGAGAGAGAGCAGCACTCAGCGATATTAGGGCGCGTGAAAGGAGCTTTTTTCGTTGCAGCAATGGCCGCGGCCATCGGCAAGGCCGAGGAAGACGCGGACGCGCGGCCGTTCGCGGTCGAAAAGCGAGCTTTCATTTCGCCCAATCAAGGGCAGAAGGTTGTTGCCGGCTGCCTCGCTGAGCCGCGGCTTAAGCTGGGTGCACAGTGACCGGAGTGATAGCCCCAACATATTTTGTCCGGTCATTAGGACTTTCTAATCGCACGCGATATCGGTTTATTGTTTATTGAGCATTCCAAGTAGCGGGGACGATCAGCTGTAGATTTATCGCAGTGATGGCTTTATGTTCGTACGGCTAGAAGTCACATTTCTTCTGCTTACTTAATCCTTTGCGCGGCTATAATAAATATATATTTGCTACTTCTTCTCTCTTTTATTTCTTCAATATTCAATATATATTCTTTTATTTTGACGACGTACTGTTTATAGTTCAATGAAAACAAGTATGATCTCACATTTTTTTGGTATATTAATACTTATTTCACATATTTCCCATGGTTTTTATATCTGATTGTTCATTTATTCAATTATCAATTATTTATAAACAAACTTGAAGAGAAGCGACTTAAAAAGAAAATTTAATTTCTTGGAAAACACTTAACATTAGAAGCTGACAATTTTATTAAATATTCCTCACATGTCATGTATAATGTTTTTCATAATTTTTCACACGCTAGGTTTCTTTTATAAATAAATTACTTGAATGAATTTCTGGTAAATCTGACATAAAATTCGTAATAAAGAATCTGAAGAATCTTTCTATCTGATTTATATTTATTCAAACCTGCACAAATTTATTCCTGTATGACAGCCTTATTGAATCTGCCGTTTAAAATTTTTGAGATCTGACTTCAGATTTGCACTTAGTGGCCCAAAAAAATTTAGAAATACAAAATTTCACAGAAATCTATCAGATGGAAAAAATGTGCCATACAAAGGATTAAAAAGCCATTATTTTAACGGCAACTGTAATTGGACTCTTGCCTGAGAAATGGCAGAAAATCGTACATGCTGACAGCAATTGATTTAATTAAAAATAATTTTGCCGCAATTATTTCATTTGAATAAACTTAAAAAAAAGCGATTTAAAAAAAAAATTCATTTCTTGGGAAACATTTAAGATTAGAGGCTGAAAATTTTATTGAATATTCTTCACATGTCATGTATAATTTTTTTCCAGAATTCCTCGCACGCTAGATTTCTTTTATAAATAAATGATTTGAATGAATTTTTGATAAATCTGATATGAAATTCGTAATTAACGATCTGGAAAATCTTTCTACCTGATTTACATTTATTCAAATTCACGCTAATTTATCCCTATAACAGCCATATTGAATTTTTTATAATCTGCCATTTTGAATTTTTGAGATCTGACTTCAGATTTGCAATCAGTGACCCAAAAACTACTTTTGAACGACAAATCTGCAGAACTTATTGTGTTCAAGATCTAACGGTAATCTTGTACTGAATATTAAGATTATTATGTGTGCCGGTCTGTGCACCCTGAACGAGCGAACAACAAATGAATCGAATCGAACCGTGAATGGCCAGGCGTTCGCAATCACGTTGGATGTTTACTCATTTATTTCGACCTAACTATGAACTTTTGCACTCGGCGGAATTCGTCACACACGATAAAAAATATCGTATCGCGTTGTAATTATATTTTAATCAGATTGCAAAATGATCTTCCCGTGCCTTTTCCATTTTACTACATCTGACAAAATGGATTCCTCTAAATTCCATAACAGTGTTCGAGCTCTTTGTCAACTTCAACTGACCTCACAGCAGTTTTCCTTTGATTCCATTTTTCTAATTTGTGGCTAATCACACGATAAAAGAATTACATACTGACTTGTAACGAATAGCTATAACAACATGTGTGTGTGTGTGTGTGTGTGTGTGTGTGTGTTGCGATATATTACGTGTTTTGACACACTTTGGCTCTCCCCGACAAACGGCCTGACGAGCGAATCGAACGTTCCGCTTGGACTCGTTAAGGTGTACATATTCTTCGAGCCGCGACGCAGCGAGTGTTCGCATTCGCTGCTCGTTCGTTTCTCGTTCGCCTCGTGTATACCCGGCTTTACGTGCTTCGCTGAAAGCGGCTGAACGCAGCCGCGCACCCCGGCTGATGGATGATACGTGCGCGTTATCACAAAGCGAACGCGCATCATCCACGGGAGCGCCGAGTCGGATCTGCCAGAGCATCACGCCCCGACGACGCTACCGGAGATCTCGCCGCGCGGAGATACGACGTGTGTCAGGTTTTCATGCGATCCCGACGTGTGATTTCATCTCTCACGCGGCTGCGTTTCTTGAGAAATATCACCTTGCTCCGCGTGGCGCGCGCGCGCGCGAGCAAAAATTCGAGAGAGCGATTCGTCTCGTTTATTGACTTGAGTCGTGAGTAACGCCGTTTTTGGGCTTTAAATTTTCAAAGACCTCACCGGATGAGAGGATCGATTTCACAGCAGCTTCGTTAGTCAGTTTACTGATAATGAGTCATATATATATAGGCGAAAAACAGACGCGCTGCAACCGACAAAAATGATTTATTTACGAGCACCATGAATAGCTCTGTCTGTTTTCAACGGATTTACATCAAGCATATCCATGTTTTTTGAGTCGGCGAAATTAAGTTTGAGAAATTTATAAGGGCGGATCCAATATAGCGATGCTTAAATACTCAACTTTGTTAATTTTCGGAAAATACTTATTAAGATTGATATGCTCATTTTATTTCGTGGAGAATCTTCTTTATAGAGGATTTTTCGGATGGTAACAAACCCAGGACCGAAATTTCAAAATTAAAAATGGCCGATTCAACATGACAGCTCCAAGTAATTTTATTATCCTGTTATAGAGAATATTATATTCGATATGTTTATATTTTTTGGATCCAATAAAAATTATGAAATCTAGAATGGCGGATCCAGCATGGGGGCTTCTAATGACTAACTGTATGCGATTATGGATACTCTTACCTTTATTATTAGCGGGTGAAATATCTTGAAAGAAACTACTTCATTGCCGAATGGCTCTGCTGAAAATTTTGAATTGATGATAGTCGTTATCTACGACTAAAAAACCAAAAATATTGAGTTCTGATACGTATCCACAATAGAATATCAAAGTCAGTCACTTGCAGCCGCCATATTGAAATTTATATTTTTCAACCCGGATTCGTCAGTAGCGACCCAAAATACATAAACATACATGATCTTCTGTATAATAGAATATCAAAGTTAGCCATTTGAAACCACATTTTGGATTCGCCACTTTGAATTTTGAAATTTCGATCCTGGATTTGTTACTAGCGATCCAAAAGAATTCTTACTGGTAAGCTTCCATGTACGAAATTTTTCACAAAATAAAATAGGATATCAATCCTGAGAAATATTTTTCAAAAACTAACAAAGTTGAGTATTTAAACGCCGCCATATTGGGTCTGCCATTTAAATTTTTCAAATTTGATTTCAAGCTCACCAGTGAAAATTTACACATTCTCCGTAAGCGCATTTAAGTAACTAAAAAATTATAAAGCCCCTATCGCGCGTCTAATGTCAATTCAACCTAAGATATTCTTCACTAAAGTTAAATTCACCAGAGAACTCAACATATATTTTGAGTAAATATCTGACGTCTGCCACAAGCTTATCACAGATTTGCAGACATATCAACTTTCCAAGTACTTGCCAAATACTCGAGAAACAAGTAACATCCATTTGAAGGAGAAAGCAGTATCCATCTTCCCGCATCCCTTTCGAAGAAGAAAACGACATAACACAGAGCAGTCCAACGCCATCGAAAACTTCCTTGTATAACAACTTCTTACTCGAAGATAGTCGCGTGCTCTCTTAACGGTCCTTATTATGCGATTATTATCCTTTCAACAGAGTCCCGCTCTCACACCTCATTCAGCTCCTCGCCGAGAGCCGTCGTCGAGACCGCAAGCCAGCGCGAAATATTCATTTGCCGTGCAATTCGACTCGATTGCTCGGCAAATGAATTAATTTCAAATATCGCGGGAAGCATCACGAAGCCTCACGTGGAGGAAACGCGCGTAAGATCACGTAAACGTAATCCAACGGCGTCTCTCTCCTCTCTCCCCTTTCTCTCTCTTGCCGAGCTGCATCTGGGGATCGTCACGCGGAGAATCGAGACGACGACGGCGGCGACGGCAGCGGCACCGCCGCGGACTCGTACACATATCAATCCGATCGACATCGCGCATTCAATTTCGAAAGCACGTCCGCTTTCTGTTTGCACGCAAATACCGATTTAATTTTGCATCCTGTTTGCCGCGCATCGTGTTTGTATTTGCGCGTGGCGCGACTCGAAATGTCTAAATGAAAATTGCTCTTGCGCCGCGCCTTCTACAAGCCCGGGCCTGCCGCCGCCGCCGCCACTCCCGATGCAATCGCATCGTTATTGAAATCCCATACGCAAAATGCCAAAATACACTTTCCTCCTCTGTATAACTTGTCGTGACGCGCATGTGTGTATGTTACATATATGCACGCGTAACTTTATTCTAGCTTTGATAACACACGAGTGTTGTAAATAACAGAGATTCACCCAGAGTCATCTCTCTCTCTCTCTCTCTCTCTCTCTCTCTCTCTCTCTCTCTCTCTCTCTCTCTCTCTCTCTCTCTCTCTCTCTCTCTCTCTCTCTCTCTCTCTCTCATACACACTCACACACACACACACACACACATATACACACTCTCTCTCTTTCCCTCCTGTGATGGAGAAGAAAAAAGGAGCGATGCGGCGCCATTTCGGAGCTTACGCATCTCTCGTTTCGTTTGCGATAGAATATCGATTAGATTTCGTACTCAATTTGCGCGTCACAGGACACATGATGAAAACAGAACCGCGCGCTCACCTCGGTCCCTCTAATTCGTCCCATCTTCCGACGAGCTCGCGACCAACACACGAGGGCGGACGTGAGGGGTGGCAGGGATGGAACTTTACGTCGATTACCTTCCCGAGGCTTTAAACGAGTTACACGGAAATCACATCGATGAAGTTACTAAATAACGGTGTAATTAAATATCGCCAGAACCCGGGCAATGGGCACAGCAGTAGGATCGGCTGAAGGGGATTGGAGGGAGAGGGAACAAATTACTCGTCGTACGTATCGATAAACGGTAATTAGCGCACATTACGGTATATCAGTGCGCATTGCACCGTATCGAACGGCAAATACGATCAAATCACCGGCAATTAAAATATTTTGCGCATGCGCGCATGCGCGTGCGCGTGTGTGTGCTGCGAATCTTTTGAAGCTTCAATTAACGTGCATAAATTGCGAAGACGGCGCGCGGAATAGTTACATGTCCGTTCAAAGGCCGTTCCCTCGCCCCCTCCCTCCCGCCGCGCCGCCTCGTGTCAACGTGGTGAAAGTGATGTAATCTCTCCCGGAGCGTCTCACATGGAGCGCCGCGCCGTGGAAACGAGCGACATGGTCATTACCGCGACGAGAGAAAAATCCTTTCGTCGCGTCGGTAAACCGAACATCCAAAGAGAATTGAGGGAGAACAGGAGGTACAGGGAGGCAGAGCAGGAGAAAGAGAGAGAGAGAGAGGGAGGGAGGGGAGGAGGGAGGGAGGGAAGGAGGGAGGGAGGGAGGAAGGGAGGGAGAGAGGAAAGGAAGGAGGGGGAGAGGGAGAGAGAGAGAGAGCGGGGAGAAATGGAGAGAGAAGGAGTGACAGAGAATGAGAAGAGAGAGAGAGAGAGAGAGAGAGAGAGAAAGTGGAAGGAGCTCTTTACTTACAGGCGACCTCAACCGTAGCGGGCTGCCCTCGAATTTGACCTGGTCCCGACCAAGCCACGCACTCGCACTTGAATCTCTCCCTCCCGAAGTACTCCTCGACCTCGTTTCTCGTCACGTTCAACTCGACCTCGACGACCCTCGTTCCAGTGCGAGGGTCGACGAAATCCTGCTGCTGCGAACGCTCAGCCCGCTCGCCGTTGCAGCGAAAATACACCTGCGAAAAAGACCGGACAGTCGTATGCAGGCGTGCGGGAAACAGGTTGTCTTCGTTAAACGCCGGCTAAGTGGGTAATAAGAACGAGGAAAAGGTAAAGAGCCGCGAGGAAGAGACGGCTCCGAGGGGAGACAGCGCGGAAGAACGGACGCAAGCCGCGGAGAAAGAGGCAAAGCCGAAGGTATTTCATGTGAGAGTCTTAACAAAGGATAATGCGAGGTTTTAACGATACTCTCGCGTTCTTACCAGCCGTGTGTGCACACAGAGAAAATTTCTGAATAAACATTACTGTACAAACAATTGTACGTAACCGAGGAGCATATCTAAAGGTGTCCCCTGTCATAATTTATTATCCTTACGTTTCATGTTTGCTTTATTTAGGTATATTTCAGAAACCGAAATCGTGTCTCGAACGCACACACGAAGGAAATGTTGCGATGAAAATTGTAACAGAGTTTTCCTCTTGAGACACATGAAGAAATTACGGACCGACGTTGCTATATATTTATCTTAAAATATTTACTGTTAATGTAAATATTAATACTGTGCAAGTGTTTGCTATATATATTTGCCATGTACATGTGCGTTTGACTTTTTACTACACAATCGATATTGTGGTTTTTTTAATATTTTACTGTTTTGAGAGATTTCTTCTCTTTTTGCTGTTTGTTATTTTTACGACTACAATATCGGCAGAGTCAAGAGTTTTGCAAAAAGAAGGTTGCGAGAAAGAAATATATAATATTTACTACGATATTTAAATATTTACTACATGTTTATTTTAAAATATTACGCATGTGTGTGTGTGCGTTTAACTTTTCATCGTACAAGCTTTTCACAAATAATATTATAGTTTTTTGAATATTTCGCTGTCTTGACTCGTCTTTTGCCGTTTATTATTTTTAGTAATAACTCATACTACATCGGTATAGACTCCAGTTTTACGAAAAAAGGAAATCGTAAAAAGAAATCTAATTTTTATTACGATTTTTCCTCCGTGTAGCAAACGCTCAATTTTTTTCTAACTCTCAAGTTGAAGCGAGATTACAGTTAGCGCTCACACGTAAGAAACATTAAACTTAGGATCGAGAGAGCATATTTAGCATTCGTTATGCATCCAGAACAAACGACTCTGAAAATCTTCTATCAACAAATTTACTATGTTCTCCTTAATAAGATAAAGTCTACCGACTCTCCGCTCCTGCGCACCGCTAGAAAATAAACATTGGAAGGCGTTTGAAAAAGATCTAAAAGAATATGGAAAAGCAAAGATAATTTATATATAAAGTCGAGGAAAGAGAAATTTATCCGAGGTGGAACTGCACAATATTCTCTCTCTCCTTTCTCCATGTATGCGTGTATTGCGAAGTGATACGAGCGAGCGGTGAGAAAAGAAGCGGCTGATACCGGCGAAGCAGAGATCATACACGTGTACACGCATACGCGAGAAGTAAGTATCGTACAAAGGGAGGAAGCTGCGAAGGAATTGAAACTTACGTTCTACGGGGATGCGGCGCGCATACCTGAAGAGCGTGTGCGGCGCGGCAGTGCAGCGTCGCCGGTTTCCCCTTGACGACGAACGTGTCGACAGGCTCCGCCAAGAAGATCGGCAGCGAACGGCCGGCGATGAGATCGGTATCGCTGGCTATGGTCGCGGTTTCGTAGTCACTGTAATCGTAGTCCTCCACGGGATAGCTCTCCTCGTCGTCCTCCTCGGCGTCGTCCTCCTCCTTCGTGCCTGGGCGACAATAACATAGGCAGCGCGGCACACTTAGTCGTCTTTTCTCCTTTTAGCCCGGAGAAATCGATCATTCCGGCGCGACTCAACCCGCGGCTAATCCGATAGAGAGAGAGAGAGAGAGAGAGAGCGTGCCGAGGCGCGGCGTAATCCCTTCGCGGCACTTTCCTTAAATTTTTCATACCGATTCGATCGGATGAAATTGTCTCATGCCGTCGGCAGCTCGTTTCCCGGCCCGTCCGAAGGATTAAGCCGCGTCGCCGCCGCGATCAGGAGAAACGACGGCGGAAACGCGTTATCCGACGGCACATTATCGGATCCGATAACGTCTCCTAACGGACGACTCCCTCTCTATTTCTCTCTCTCTCTCTCTCTCTCTCTCTCTCTCTGTCCGCCGTCGATTGTCTTCTTGCAAAAGCGCGATTTGCCGTAAGACTTACGGCACACAAAGAAAGTACGTAAGCAGTAAAACGGGTGCGCATTCATCGCGCGTAATTTCTCACCCGCCGCCGATGGATTTCGAAAACTCACTCGGAGTATTGAAACTACCGACGACTTGCCAGCGGAGCGATCAAAATAACGGTTTTTTAGAAAGATACGCTATGAGAAGGCAAAAATGTGTACTTGTTTCCTTCGCTCTCTTGCGACGTAAGAGTAACAGATACATCGTTGTTGAGTTTTCTAATTTTTTTTTTTTAGAAATTTAAGTTTTCTAATTTTTTGAGTTTTCTAATTTTTTTTGAGAAATTTAATTTTTGCTGAGAAATTACAAACCGGTCATTTCTCTCACCGTTTGGTGGTTCCTAGTATCAAACAATAACTAACGAATGAGCACATCCTTCGAACTACGCGGAGAGAATATTATCAGGGTTGGGAAGTAACTCGTTACTTGTAACGAAGTTACAGTTACAGTTTTTTTTTTTTTGGTAACTATAACTTAACTTCATTCCGTTTTTTCCATCTATAACTGTAACTTAACTTAGTTACATTTGTTTGATAACTAGTAACTAATTTAACAGTTACTTTAATAGTCACTTTATAACGTGCTGCAAGTCTTCTACTGGAAAACGCGCTATTGCGTCATCTATCTTTATCATTCATTAAATGTAAAACAAGGATAAAATGACGCAATAGCGCTGATAATTTTCTCTCCGAACGCAACTTGTATTTTTCTCAAAAAAATTTTACGCCTACTGGACATTTCCATCGCACATTGTCAGTCCTTATTTGTTGACATAACCTGCGTTCAGCGTGAAGTGCGCGGCGTGTTTTCAGTTATATAAAAAATTCAAGCAATGAATAAAACATCTCAATCTTCGGAGAAGGATTGTAAAATGCCATGGCCAGCATATGCAGAAATATTTGAGTTACAGCAAAAATTTGGAAATAAGAATAACTGGGCATTTCTCTGCAAAATATGCGCAAAAAAATTATTCATGCAAGAAGAAGTTCAAATACAAATTTAAAAAAACATATGGGTGTAAGTCTTTATTTATAAAATATCAATATGTTTTTTAGTGTCTATCTAATTTTTTATGTTAAGGTTACTTTCAGTATTTTTAGTATTTATTATTCTCATCAAATTCATTCACTTTCTTATAATTGCTATTAATAGTCTTGAAGAATAAATGTGAATCGATTATTTAAATTAACTTGTAAAAATTATATACAATATGAGGAATATAAAATCAACAAACTACTTTTATATAAAATTGAATAAATTTGCACAATTACGAAATTTAAAATAATAGCACAATTATTGTAAAAAAAGTAACTGAAAAGTAACGACATATTACTTTCTAAATAACTATAACTAACAACATGTTATTTTTAACGGTCAGTAAATTGTAACTGTAACTAGTTACTTTTTCAGTGAAAAAAACTGTAACTCTAAGGCAAAGTGGAATATGGAAAAAAAATTGTGAATTTGTTTAAGCGGAACCCGACCTTGACATTACGACAAGGAGCAGCAAAATTAAAACAGAAGGGTATAGAAGTATCACATACAATTATTCGAACCCATCTCCTTGCGCATAACCTCAAATATCGAAGCACAATGAAGAAACCACTGTTAGCCGAAAAACATGTGACGAAAAGACTCGCTTGGGCAAAGGAGAATTTGGACCGAGATTGGAGCAACGTGATCTTTACGGACGAAGCTTCTGTTTGGGGATGTACTGCCATCCGACGTTCCTGGTCAACCTTGACCAATAGATTAATGCAACGGACTGTTAAACACCCTGTAAAAGTTCATCTTTGGGGCTGCTTTTCGAAACAGGGTTTTGGAGCATTACATCTGTTTACATACAATTTAAATGCTCCGAAAATGCTTAAAATTTATGAGAAGTGTTTGTTGCCGACTGCTGAACGATGCTTCATAAAGAAAAAACGAGGACTCGATCTTACAGGAAGACAACGACCCAAAACACCGGAGCAAGCTTTGCACCGAGTGAAAAGAGCAGTCTGGCATCGTCACACTTGATTGGCCATCGCAGTCGCCAGATGCAAATCCCATTGAAAATGTGTAGGCATATCTCAAGCACAAGCTTCGAGAAAAAAAAATGTGCACTTTGAAGCAGCTGACACGACAAATTCGTCTCATTTGGAGGTCTTTACCGAACGAATACGCAGTCAACTTAGTGGAAAGTATGCCTCGGAGATGCCAGGCAATTATCAATGCCGGTGGTGACTGGACTCATTATTAATGGTATAGCATTTTTCTTCTCATGGAGTACAACAAATCCATGTACTTAAAAATCATTAAAAATAAATTTTTCTACACATTAACCCGTACACGCTCTTACTTTACAGACTGTATGTTCGGTTGTTACGAAATACTGTTGCGATCTGTTAACCGCAAAATTCCCCACGTCTACATAAATCAGCAAATCTATGCTGTTTTGCATACTGCCTATGTAATAATATAATTGTAGACTGTTAATAACGACAAATACTTCTTTACAAGATGATAATCGCCGGCAGAACAAATATCATGTGCAAGTGACAGCGGCTGCAAAGTGTTAAGCAACAAATGAGTCAATCGATCATAATCGAGAACTTCAACGTGATAGTCTGACGTCTTCGGTGATTCTCAAACGTAATTGATCGATTCGTTTACTGCTTAAGTTTTGTTGCTTACATTTCTTTATGTGTCATCCGCTCTTTACGTCCTTGATGTATGTTCGAATGTAATAGGTCAATTGCTGCTTGAGTTTTACCATGTACACTTCTGCCGTTTTCGCTTCAAGTTCTTAATATATAATATATAATTGTTGAATAAGATCGGCTAATTCGCTTATTGTTTATTATTTATTTCTATTTCTTACGTTTTTTCACGTGCTACCCGCTTTATGTTCTTAAGAATCATCAAATATAATTGGCCAATTCACTCATTATTTAATTATTACTTCTTACGTTTTCTTAGCGCACCACCTATTTTATATTTTTAATAATCGTCAAATATAATCGGTCATTCCGCTCATTATTTAATTTCCACTTCTTAAGTTTTTCCCGCTTTATATTCTGAAGAATTATCAAATATAATTAGACAATCCACTCATTGTTTTTAATTTTCACTTCTTACGTTTTTCTACGTACCATCCACTTTATATTCTTAACAATCGTCGAACATGATCGCCCGATTCGCTTTTCGTTTAATTTCTACTTTTTACGTTTTCTCCCACACATTACCCGCCTTATGTTGTTAAGAATTATCAAATATAATCAGCCAATCCACTCATTATTTTTAATTATTACTTCTTATGTTTTTTTACTCACTTTATATTCCTAACAATCGTCAAATATAATAGGTCTGTTCGTTCATTATTTAATTTATATTTTTTATTTATATATTTAATTATATTTATATATTTAATTTATATTTATATTTTTTACGTTTTTCCACATTGTGTTCTTAAAAACTTCAAATATTAAATAACCAATACACGCATTGTTTAATTTTCACTTTCCATGTTTTTCTACGAACTATTTTATATGCTTAGCAATCGTCAAATATAATCGGCCAAATCTCTTTCTAGTCCATTGTTCAATTTTGACTTTTATGTTTTTCTTACGCGCCACCATTTTATATTTTTAACAATCGTCAAATATAATAGGTCTATTCGCTTATTAGTTAATTTTTATTTCTTACGTTTTTCCATCCGTCTTTACCCGCTTCTTAAGAACATCGAATATGATTGATATTCGATGTTCATTCACTCATTGTTCGATGCCAACTCACTCATTGTTTAATGTTTAATTCTTATGTTTTCTCTATACGCCACCCACTTTATATTCTTAACAATAGTCAAATATAATCGGTCAATTCGTTCATTATTTAATTTCTATTTCTTACGTTTCTCCACGTGCTATCCGCTTTACGTTTTTAAAAACATCATTAAATTTGATCGGCCAATCATTGTTTAGTTTTCACTTGCTGTCTTTTTACGTGCCACTTACTTTATATTTTTAACAGTCGTCAAATAATCGGCCAATTTTCTTTCTATCCCATTGTTTAATTTTTACTTTTTACGTTCTTCCTACGCACCATCATTTTATATTTTTAACAATCGTCAGATATAATCGGCCGATTCTCCCATTGTTTAATTTTTACTTCTTATGTTTTTTTCTACGCCCCACCTACTTTATATTCTTAACAATCGTCAAATATAATCCGTTAATTCACTCATTATTTAACTTATATTTCTTACGTTTCTCCACGTGCTACTCGTTTTATGTTCTTAAGAATATCAAATATTAACTAATAACCAATATGCTCATTGTTTAGTTTCCATTTTTGTTTTTCTACATGCTAGTTCTTTTAATTCTTGCCGATGCAGTTTTAATTCTTAACAGTCATTAGATATAATCGGCCGTTTCTCTCTCTCTCTCTCTCTCTCTCTCTCTCTCTCGTTCATTGTTTAATTTTTACTTCTTACGTATTTTCTACACGCAATCCACTTTATATTCTTAATAATCGTCACATATAATCGGTCGAGTCGCTCGTTGTCTAACTTTTACCTCTCTCACGAGTTTCTATTCTACGTACCATCCACTTTATCCGAAGACGCGCGCACCCACGTATGTTTAGACGAGAGGACTCGAGTGCGATTGGGAGGCGGATTGGAAGCGGGATTAACAATGCGTAGCGGATCTCAAGCGCCGTGTATCAATCCGAGAGAGGCGGGCGCAGGATCTTACGCGGACTTTATGCTTCGTGTTCGCCGTCTCGCTCCTAAGTCCCCGCGGGAACTTTATTACACCCGCGGCAAACTGCGCGCCGCGCTTGTTTGACTCGCCGCAGTAAAAGCGACCGGGCGGGCCGGGCCGGGCGCGGACGATGATTACCCCCGCTGTCACGTTCATGAGAAACATGTCACGATCTGCAACGAGGGGCTTTCGCGAGGAGGAACGCGAGGCGTAAATTTACGCCGCGATTCGGACAGCTACGCGCGCCGGTCGGAAATGGACGAAATGAATTTTCGCTCGCTCCGAAAACGCGCCGGCCAACTTCCGCGCTGCAATAATAACTGCTGCCGCTCGCCGAACGATTTTTCAACGGGCCAATTTCTCTCTCTATTTTTCTCTCATCTCTTTCTCCCCGCCCCCTTCCCCATACCCCACTGTTTCACTTTTTTCAACCCGCGTATGTTCTCGGCTCTCGTGGAACGTTGCAAGATTGCGATTGCATCGTGCGAATTAGCCGCTCGAGGCTGCAGCTACCGCGAAGTCGGATTGGCTCCGTTGCGATGCTCGGAACTCGGTTAACAAGTGTCATCGATGGACACACACGCGTTAGGTTGAAAAAAAATTTTCGCGCGGTGACGACGTTGCGTGCTAAGTAGTTTAAATGCACGCGGTTTGTCTTATGCAGAGAGAGAGAGAGAGAGAGAGAGAGAGAGAGGGAGGGGGAGAGAGAGAGAGAGAGAGAGGGAGAGAGGAATGTATCAAATAGGTCGACTGATGAGTCACGTACGCGTGACGTTGTTCCTTCGTGGAAATCATGCGACACTAACATCGATATCGCGTCAACCCTCGATACGCCATTGTCATATCAATTAAGTCGAAGGATTGATCTATTCTATCCCGAGGAAAAAGTTCTCTGTTTTTTTACGAGACCAAAGAAAGAAATCTTAGAGATCTAAGATTTCATAGCTGAAGAATAATAAACATCATGCGGTGTCAGTCGTTGAGAATTGTTGGAACCGTCAAGAACTCAAAAACTAAAATCAGGCTTTTTCGTCCTTTGCAAGATCCATGAAAGAGATCTTAGAGATTCAAGGTCTTGATACTCGAAGAAGAATAAGAACATGAGATACATCAATCGTTGCAAATAATTGGAATGATCGTGGAAAAATGTCAAAAATTAAAATCAGGCTTCTCCGTTCTTTGCAAAACCTAAGGAAGAAATTTTAGAAATCTAAGACTTGATATTTGAAAATTGGCAAAAATCGTGAGACAACGATCTTTGCGAATGGTTGAAATGGTCAGAAAGAAAAAACTCAAAAATTAAGATGAAACTTCTTTTTTACAAAACTTAAAAAAGAAATCCCAAAAGTCCAAGACTTGATATTTGAGAAATCATAACAATGCAAATCCTTGCAAACGGTTAGAATCGTCAGGAAGGAAAAGCTCAAAAACCAAAATCAGGCTTCCTCGATCCTTGCAAAGCTTAAGAAATTTTTAAAACCCCCAAAACTTGATACTTGAGAAATATTAAGTTGGTGCAAAAATAATTGCGGTTTTTATCATTTTAAATTTGGCGCCGATTTTTCTAGTTATCTTCTCCGTTATCTTCTCCAAAATCCTATCTTGTAGGAACAAACAAACTTGTTTCCCGTTGGAAGAAATGTGTACAGGCCGATGATTTTGATTAATAAATATAATTTTTAATTGATATATGTGTCTTTATACTCGATACGTAAAAACTGCAATTATTTTTGCACCAACCTAACAGTAACAATCACGAAATGGCAATCGTTACGGATGGTTGGAACCATAAAAAAGAAAAACTCAAAGACCAAGATCAAGCTTCTCCGTTATTTTCGAGATCCAACAAAGAAATCTTCGAAATGTAATACCTGTGACACTCGAGGAATAATAAAAACCGTCAGCCGTTCAGCGAACAGTTAAAATCATCAGGAGAAGAAAAAAAAGACAAAACCCAAAGACCCGAAACTCAAGCTCGACGGAGGCTGGCGGTCGGGTGGCGCAGCGAGGGTTAGCCGCGGCGCTTCGCGCTACTTACTTTCGAGAGTGCTGACGAGCCGGAGGAGCGTCAACAGGAGTATACTGATCCGCAGCTCCATCGTGAATTCACATCTCACTCCGCGCAAGCCGGTGTCTCATCTCTTGGTGCGGTCAGCCGCGGCAAACCTCATACTCCTGCTGACCGGATCGCGCGATCTTGCCTGATCAGTCCCGCACGGCGATCCCGGGCCTCATAATCGCCGGCGGACCACGTCGACGCGGATCAGGGGGAGATGCAGTCGCTCATACTGCGCTACTCGGCGCGCGTCCTCCGCGAGCATCGTCGCCGTTGAATCGCGCGCGGCCGGCCGCACGCGGGAAACTGTCCCGGTCGAATTCGCGCAGGTTCCTCACAGCGGACCAAGTCCCATCGGCTCAGGCCGCGTCCAGGCCGAGCAGCGAAAGACGAGGACAACGACGACGATGACGACGAGGAGGAAAAAGAAGGAGCGTCGGCGCCAATTACTCGCGACTCACGTAGCAGGCTGCATGACGAGTCCGAGCGAGGGTGCTCGCACTTGCACGGTTGCACTTGCGTTGGAGCGGACGAAGCCGAACCGGGGGTGGGACACGTGACCGGACGACACGGGGGAGAACGAGGGACTCGCTCGTGCCAAGGGAGGGTGGCTACACGATGCTCGCCGCTCGGCACGCGCTGGACGACTGAACTTGCCGGCGTGCGCGCACCTCTATATATACATATATACACGTCTCACTTCGATACCGACGCTCTTCTTCATCCCCTTGTCGTCGGGGGTGCTGCTGCTGCTCTGCTGCTGCTGCTGCTGCTGCTGCTGCTGCTGCTGCTGCTGCTGCTGCTGCTGCTGCTACTACTACTACTACTACTACTATTACTACTACTACTACTACTACTATTACTGCTACTGCCGCCGCCGCCGCCGCCGCCGCTGTTGCCAGTGGTGGCGGTATCTGCGGCGGTGACGGCGACGTGGGTGGTGGTGGAGGCGGTAGAGGTGGTGGCGGCGGCGGCGGCGGCGGCGGTGGTGGTGCTCGTGCCGCCGGAGGCTGCGCTTTCTTCCACGGACATTCTCCTTCCGCGTTGAGCGATGGTCGTCATAGATCGCTCGCTCGCTCTCTCTGCCTCTGTCTTCCTTTCTTCCTCGGTGTACATTCGTCCTTCCGCCCCCTGGTGCGCCTCAATCGTTTCCGAAGAAGAAGCCGATCTGCGTCCACCTTCGCTCGAAAATCACGAGCCGCGATTCTCCTTTGGGACCGGACTCTTCGGAGTGAATCTCAACACTCCTCGCGGGCTAATTGAGTGTGAGAAGGAGACCTTGTTCATCGGGAGCGCCCACTCGAATCTTTCAGCGCGTCGGGACATCGGGCGGACAATCGACGAGAGCTCGCGCGGGAGCGGCAGCGCGATGATGGAGGGTCATTTGTTTGTTTCCTCCTCTTCCACGGAGCTCGCGTTTCTGGCTGAGACGTCTTCTCCCGCGTGAAAGCACCCGGCTCTCTCTCTCTCTCTCTCTCTCGGCGACGCGCTCGCGGAGCGCATTGTTGTGCCCGGAGAGCGTCGGTATGCGCGTCTGCACTCGTTCCTTGACAATTTAATATTCATCCAGCCTTTCATTCACGGGCCGCGTCGTAAAGCGAGCCGAACCGTCAGCCCGGAGGTCGTTGTTATCGTACCTCGTCCACGAGGTGACCGGTCGAATGGATATCGCCGGAGCAGCCGCGACACTCCGCCGGGGAATCCTCGCGGGAACACGTGGGATTTCCTACGCTCGATCACCCTGGCGAGCCGCTCGAACGTGAAATCGGATCCAACCGCGGATCAAGTTTAGACGCCGTCGTCGTCGCCGTCAACCTCACGAGTCGTGTCGTGCGACGGCGGCTGGAACAAGCTTCCGAGTTGCTTGGTTACGCATGTAGGCGGACGGGAGTACTACCCTTGACGCTACTTGGCGGAAATATAAAGCGGAAACTGCGGAACCGTCGGTTACTTTACGCAGGAGCGATCCCGATCGAGAACGTAGGCCATGTTGTGTTTGGGATTCGCGAACGTAATGGGAAACGTAGGCTCTATCAACCAGTTCACTGGTAGGTCCGAAATCAATTTTGTACCAGAACTGGCGAGAGCGAATAATTTCGTATTTTACATGGAAACTTATTTATAAGGATTTCTTGGGTCGCTGATGCGAATCTAGGATCGAAATTTCAAAATTCAAAATGGCGGATTCAGTATGTCGGGTTCAAGCGATTATTTTTATATTCCATTATGGATACGTATCACACTAGGCACACTGTAAGAAATGATGTGTTAAATTTAACATATTTCATGTGTCTCAAATCATCCACTCTCATTTATGTGTTAATTTAACATATAGCAAATATGTTAAAATGTAACACATATAATATGTAAAAAATTAACACAAAAATTTAACATTTGAATACCGTCAAGAATCACAGTACAATAAATGTTACTTCAACATTTGGGAAAAGTAATGATCTATGATTTGATGAAATGAAAATGTTAGATTGACATAATCTATGTGTGAAAAATTCGATCTTCACATACCAGAAATGTTAATATTATACATTTAACACATGATAACTGTTATAATGAGGATAGTAACACATTTTAAGTATGTTGACTTTAACGTATAAAATATGTCATAGCAAGAATTCATGCATTTACATATAAATTGTGTTATTTTATACTTGGAAATGTCATTTTAACCCTTGAAAATAGTTAATCTTAATTTAACACAAGAAAGTCTAGGTAACACAATAATGATATGTTAAATTAACACACGACCGTGTAAAAAATTTAACACAAAACTTTCTACACACAAATAATTTTACACATAAAAGTACGAAATGTTTTTAACTATGTATATATATATATATATATATATATATATATCAAAAATGTGCAAACTATTCGAATCCTAATCCTTATGATTCAAATCCGAATAATTCGAAAATTTCGAATCGCGAAGATTCGAATACGAATCAAATACTTAGTGTTTGCGTACATTAGCTACAAAACAGGTCATCTGGGCCTGGGGTATGTTTGAACCTTTAACTTGTGATTAACTTAACTTGTAATTAATATCTTAATTGTAAATTACTTTAAATATTTAAATATATATTTTATTTTAAGATGATATTACAATATCAATATTCCCTTTCGTATCAAAATCTTCCATCATTATTTGCATGTTTAATAGTCATGTTAAATTTTTTAATGATTCTATTCGATTTCATTCGATTGGAATTCGAATTTAAAAAATGAGATTCGATTCGATTCGACATAAAAATTCTTAATTCGCACATCTCTAATATATTATATATATATATATATATATATATATATTTCTTTTTTCGGTCACAAGTAACGACTGTCGTAAATTCGAAATTTTCACCACAGAATCATTCGGCAGAGAAACTTCTTCTTCAATATATTTCATCCGCTAATAATGAGGGTAAGAGTATCCATAATGAAATACGTTAGTCATTAGAAACCGCCATACTCGATCCGCCATTTTAAGTTTCGCAATTTTGACTGGATCCAAAAAACATGGATATATTGAATATATAATCTTCTCTATAATAGAATAAATTAATCACTTAGAGTCGCCATATTGGATCTGCTATTTTGAATTTTGTAATTTCGACTTCGGGTTCATCACTAGCAATCCGAAAAACTTTCTATAAAGAAGATTTCATACAAAATCAAATGGGTATCAGTCTTAATAAATATTCTTCAAAAAAACCAAATTGTATATTTAAGCGCCGATATATTGACTCCACCTTTATGAATTTCTCAAATTTGGTTCCGGATAGCGATCCAAATAAGCATGGGTCTATCAAGTTTGATGCAAATCTGTCGCAAATTGGCCGAGCTATTCGTAAAGTTCATATATGAGTCATGCGTATAAGCAATGGGCTGATTATTGAACCGTTGGTGCACACATATTGGTGAAAAAAATGTATCGAAAAATCACTCCATAGATGTTCTCTGGACTTGAAATTGTTTAATAGCTAGGAATTATAGCGGACCGAGAAAGAGTCTGGACCTGAAACCCCATTAGAACCCTAAGAAGTCCAAAAATGGTTACGCGACTGTTCTACAAGATTTCTCAGGGATGAGATTTACGAGGGTGTATCATTGTGGACTGAAGGCAAATAGCGTGAGAAATTTGATACGTTTTTCGTGACAATAAGGAAACTCTGAGGTTCAGGTGTTTGGTTAGGTTAGGTTAGTTGCGCAAGGATTCGGAAGGTAGTGATAGGAAAAGATATGGGTCTCTAGGAGATTAGGAGAAAGTTGCGTTACGTAACAGCCCGCGATGACTCTTCCACAATGATGTCCCTCGTGTAAGACGTTTTTGAGTTTCGCGCGGTAGGATTAGTGTATGAAGAGAGGGAGAGAGAGAAAGAGTGATGAGGTGTAACTGATTATAAAAGGAGGAGAAGGAACTAGATCTTTTATCTTTGAGAGATGTTGTCTTTTAAATAACTCTTACACTACTTAGCGAGTAATCCTTTTACACTCGGGTAAAGTGTGCACATGTGATCCGTCCTTTGCGACTTAATCCTTTCTAAATTGCGCGTCGTGCATCCGACTCGCTTATACTCACCTTTTCACTCATGCTTCGCCCGTTGGAACCGTTTCTTTCTTGCCGAGGCCGAAGATGCAATGTTTGTTGTCATCAGTCGCAGAACTGGGCGAAACGGCGGAAGTCAGGTATTAATCTCTGTTCATTAGTCTGACTAGTTTCTAAATTTCTGGATGTTCATTAGTTTGATTGATAAGGGAAAGAGGTTTCTGGACACTGATTAGTCCGGCTAATAAAGAAATAAGTTTCTAAGTCCGCGTTTATTAATCTAGTTAATAAAGAAACAAGTTTCTGGGTGTTTATTATTTTTCTTCTTGATTCTTGATTCTTAATTTTATATACAATCTGTCTGCGCATTCTGGACATTCAGTAATAGGACTGAGCTTTCATTGACATATGCGGAATATATTCACCGACACATTCCAGTATGACGTATGACGTTTATTCTAAACGTCATACGTCATACGTTAGCAGGCCCCCTCCCATATGGTATAAGTGTTCGAGTTGGGTATTAATTAATCTGATTGTTTGTAGTTCGATTTGTTGGTTTCATATTTGAACATAGGTACGCGTGACAAACCAGAATCACGCGGTCTCAATGGGTTAACGCCATGATATTCACCGGTCACCAGCACCATGATATTATCATGTATCAAGTTACGTATCAAGTTACGTTAGCTTATTGATATTCGAGAATCCGTTAGATTGCTTGCTCCTTTAGAGATTGTTTGATCCGCTCAAGACTTGAAATATGTTGCGCTGGAAAGATAAATTAAAAGCATATTACGACAACAAGATTAATAAGAGAGAAAGAGAGAACCGTCAGCCAGCTCCACGCCACAATAATCGTATTTTCACCTCGCTCAACCGTGTAAAAGTACAATGTATTTTCCTGATAACAAATACACATCCTCGTTACGTCTTGTGAAATAAATTATGATAATTATTATTAAACATTTTTGCGAGCATTATTATGCATATAAGCCGTACAAGCATCGAAACGATATTTTTATTATTTTATTTAAAATTATGAGAATTCTGAAATTCAAAATAAATATAATTATTTTGAATTATAATTAATAGAAGTCGCAAAATTGGATGGCTAACGAA